CTCCTGACGTTTCGCCTGCATCTATGGCAAGCATCCTCAGGATGCTTGAGAATTTATTTATTTATTTATCGTGTCATCAGCAACCATACCATTTATTACATTTCTAACAGAACAAAACAAACACACAGATTAAAAAAAAAACAAAACACAGATTTTGCAAACTTGGTAGTTGGTTAAATGTCCTTTGACCAGTATCTGGCCACTTGGAGTGCCTCTGGTGTTGCCGCAAGAAGGTCCTCCATTGTGCATGTGGCAGGGCTCAGGTTGCATTGCAGCAGGTGGTCAGTGGTTTGTTCTTCTCCACACTCGCATGTTGTGGATTCAACTTTGTAGCCCCATTTCTTAAGATTGGCTCTGCATCTCGTGGTGCCAGAGCACAGTCTGTTCAGCGCCTTCCAAGTCGCCCAGTCTTCTGTGTGCCCAGGGGGGAGTCTCTCATCTGGTATCACCCATGAATTGAGGTGCTGGGTTTGGGCCTGCCACTTTTGGACTCTCGCTTGCTGGGGTGTTCCAGCGAGTGTCTCTGTAGATCTAAGAAAACTATGTCTTGATTTAAGTCGTTGACGTGCTGGCTGATACCCAAACAGGGGATGAGCTGGAGATGTCTCTGCCTTGGTCCTTTTCACTATTGGCTGCTACTTCCCGGCGGATGTCAGGTGGTGCAATACTGGCTAAGCAGTGTAATTTCTCCAGTGGTGTAGGGCGCAGACACCCTGTGATAATGCGGCATGTCTCATTAAGAGTCACATCCACTGTTTTAGTGTGGTGAGATGTGTTCCACACTGGGCATGCGTACTCAGCAGCAGAGTAGCATAGCGCAAGGGCAGATGTCTTCACTGTGTCTGGTTGTGATCCCCAGGTTGTGCCAGTCAGCTTTCGTATGATATTGTTTCTAGCGCCCACTTTTTGCTTGATGTTCAGGCAGTGCTTCTTGTAGGTCAGAGCACGGTCCAGAGTGACTCCCAGGTATTTGGGTGCGCTGCAATGCTCCAGTGGGATTCCTTCCCAGGTAATAATCCTCAGAGCTCGGGATGCTTGTCTGTTCTTAAGGTGAAAGGCTCATGTCTGTGTTTTAGATGGATTAGGGATCAGTTGGTTTTCCCTGTAATAGGCAGTAAGAGCACCTAGAGCTTTGGAGAGCTTCTGTTCTACCATCTCAAAGCTCCCTGCTTGAGCAGTAATGGCACGATCATCAGCATATATGAAACCCATTTTCCTAGTTCCAACAAACCTCACTACCTCTGAGGATGCTTGCCAGAGATGCAGGCGAAACGTCAGGAGAGAATGCCTCTAGAACATGGCCATATAGCCCGAAAAAACCTACAACAACCTTAGTTTCATTCTTTCTCTTGCCAGATTCAGAAAACATCCCATGCAGCAAGTTCCATTGATTTATATCCTTCATCTTGTGTGCATCTTCTGGCTTCTTGCAATCCTAGCAGTTATCAAAACATTGAAATATAGCTTTAAAAAAGAGAAAAAAACCCAATGTGTACTACCGAGACAAAAATATTTTCACTTTCTGGTCAAAGGGCTAGAAACAAAATATCTCGTATGAAATTTTACTTAACATTTTAAAAAGCAGACTTAAGTTGAAATTCTGCATCCATTTTTATTGGCATTAGAGTATGCTTTCATCCTGCAGGAAAGCAGAGATATCCAAGGTGCAATCTTTGGAATATGACTTTTCACTGAGAAGTTTTAAAACTGGCCTGCGTGCGTAGAAAGGGAATAGCTGCATTAGACCGAAAAGTAATAAATAGCCTTTTGGTACCTGATTAACGTACAGACGTATTGTGCCATAAATGCATGTGAATCAAAATCTATTTAGTCAGAGGCATGAAAGAGGTCATCTCTCTGGTCTCTCTTCCATGGCTTGAACTTGGCAGGGGAACAGTTTCATGGGTAGGGCACAAGTAGGCAGCCCATGGCCTCCATATGCCCTTTAGAGGCCTTGGCTGCAACTCTCTGTGTTCGGTGCCCGAGCCTGCTGCTCCGTTGTTCTTCTCCAGGAAGAGTGAACACATCCCCTCACCCAACCGATTGGCATTCTTCCCAGGGTCAATGGGACAATGCAGGGAGATTGCAGAGGAAAGATGAGAACTTCCCTGTCCCTGCAGTCACCAGATCCTGTCTGGTCTTGGAATCTAAGCAGGGTCAGACCCAGTTAGTACTTGCGGGGAGACCACCAACACATACTACATGCTGCTGGATATTTCAGAGGAAGAAGATCGCAAACCACCTCTTGAGAATTTCTTTCAAGAAAACTATTTGGAATTCATGGCTTTGTCATAGTTTGACAAATGACATACACACATCCCTGCACAGTTGGATAGGGTGAGTGAAATATATGATGTTGAAGAAAAACAACCCAGTTCTAGTTAGGTCCATTGCAGGCCCAAAGCCAGGATTTTGTTTCGGGGGGGGCTGAATTTTTTTCAGGGGGGGTTTCGGGGGGGGCTGAGTTTCGGGGGGGGGGCTGAGTCTGAGTGAAAGAGGGTCTACCCTAGCAAACCTTTTGTATCATTACCCCAATACCCCCATGCATATGGGATATATTGAGTATGGTGATCAGATCATGATATGAATAAACATAACAGTTTAAATAATGCACCAGTAAGGCCTTTTCGCGAACCACCATGAGAATTGGGGGGGGGGGTGAAGCCCCCCAAGCCCCCCCCTCCCCCCGGCTACATGCCTGGTCCAGTGGTTTCTTCCCGCATATGGATCTCTACTCACTATATTTACTGTGTCTCAAGGAATGGTGAACTGTTTGCTTGTCCATTGTTGTTGTTGTTGTTGTTGTTGTTGTGTGCCTTTAAGTCATTTCCAACTTATGGCAACCCCATCATGGGTTTTCTTGGTTAGATTTATTTGGAGAGGATTTGCCTTGCTTTGGGACTGAGAGAATTTGTGATCGGACCATGGTGGATTTCCATGGCTGAGTAATATAGTAAAGGTAAAGGTTTTCCCCTGACATTAAGTCCAGTGGTGTCCGACTCTGGGGGTTGGTGCTCATCTCCATTTCTAAGCCAAAGAGCCGGCGTTGTCCATAGACACCTCCAAGGTCATGTGGCTGGCATGACTGCATGGAGCGCCGTTACCTTCCCACCGGAGCGGTACCTATTGATCTACTCACATTTTCATGTTTTCGAACTGCTAGGTTGGCAGAAGCTGGGCCTAACAGTGGGAGCTCACGCTGCTCTCCGGATTCGAACAGGTTCGATTCCGGGGAGCGTCGAGCTTCTGCTGTTAGCCCTAGCTTCTGCCAACCTAGCAGTTCGAAAACATGAAAATGTGAGTAGATCAATAGGTACCGCTCTGGCGGGAAGGTAACAGCGCTCCATACAGTCATGCCGGCCACATGATCTTAGAGGTGTCTAAGGACAACGCCGGCTCTTTGGCTTAGAAATGGAGATGAGCACCAACGCCCAGAGTCAGACACAACTGGACTTAATGTCAGGGAAAACCTTTACCTTTACCTTAGGTTGGCAGAAGCTGAGGCTGACAGCGGAAGCTCACACCGCTCCCCGGATTCGAACTTGTGACCTTTCGGTCAACAAGTTTAGCAGCTCAGTGGTTTAACCCACTGCGCCACCACCAGTTAACACCTCCCAGCATGACTGCATTGAGCGCCATGACCTTCCTGTCGGAGCAGAACCTATTGATCTACTCACATTTGCATGTTATTGAACTGCTAGGTTGGCAGAAGCTGGGGCTGATAGCGGAATCCCACACCGCTCCCAGGATTCAAACCCTTGTCCTTTCAACAAGTTCAGCAGCTTAGTGATTTAACCCACTGCACCACCGGGGGCTCCCTGAGTAAAATAACATTTATTTATTTACTAGCCGTCCACTGCCACGCGTTGCTGTGGCCCACATGGGAGTTCTGTGTGGGAGGTTGGTCCAATTCTATCGTTGGTGGGGCTCAGAATGCTCTGTGATTGTAGGTGAACTATAAATCCCAGCAACTACAACTCCCAAATGTCAAGATTCTATTTTCCCCAAACTCCACCAGTGTTCACATTTGGGCATATTGATTATTCTTGTAGAGTTTGGTCCAGTTCCATCATTGTTTGAGTCCACAGTGATCTCTGGATGTAGGTGAACTACAACTCCAAAACCAAAGGACACCGCCCACCAAACCCTTCAGCATTTTCTGTTGGACATGGGAGAACTGTGTGCCAAGTTTGGTTCAATTCCATCGTTGGTGGGGTTCAGAATGTTCTTTGATTGTGGGTGAACTATAAATCCCAGCAACTACAACTCCCAAATGACAAAATCATAATTTTTTGAGTGAAAGACATACATTGGGTTGTTAGGTGTCTTGTGTCCAAATTTGGTGTCAATTCGTCCAGTGGTTTTGAATTCTGTTAATCCCACAAACGAACATTACATTTTTATTTATATAGACTAGCCATCCCTGCCACGCGTTGCTGTGGCCCAGTCTGTGTATATATATATGTGTGTGTATACATTTGTGTATATGTGTATATATGTGTGGTTGCGTATATATATATGTGCTTTTGTGCATGCGTTGTAATGTTGTTGTTGTTTTTTTTGGGGGGGGGTGGCTTTTAAAGTCTCTTTTGCTGTGTTTTTCAGTGTTTTTATGAATGATGGTCACTTGTTGGCCTGATAGGTATATTGTGTCCAAATTGGGTGTCAATTCATCCAGTAGTTTTGGAGTTATGTTAATCCCACAAACGAACATTGCGTTTTTATTTATATAGATTTATTTATTTCTTGCCCACCTCTCCTCACGGCTTGAGGCGGGTTACAACATTGTAAAACACACATTCACCTAAACACATTTTTAAAAATAAACATATTAAACATATTAAAACATATTTCCATATGATATATATTAAAATACACAAAACAGATATGCAAGTTGAAAATTTGTCATCAAAACTGCCTGGGCAGGGCAGGTGGAAAAGATAGGTCTTCACTTGTTGTGTCTTAAATTGCGACAGCTGATCTAGCTGTTGGAGCTCTACCGGCAGGTCGTTCCACAGTCGTTGGACAGCTGATTAAAAGGTTCTCTGGGTAGTGGTTGTCCGAACGAACGTATCTCCTTCTACGTCCCATCTCGGAGCTTAAGATCTTCTGGGGAGACCCTGCTTTTGTCCCCACCTTTGTCTCAAACACCTTTGGCTGGGACGAGGGACAGGGCCTTCTCAGTGGTAGCCCCCCGCCTGTGGAATTCACTTCCTGGGGAAATTAGGTCATCGTCATCCCTCCTCATCTTTAGAAAGAAGGTAAAAACATGGTTGTGGGACCAGGCCTTCGGGCAATTAGGTTAAAGGACAATTGATAATGTTTGACCATGTCTTGGAAGTGGATTTGGATAAATTAAGCAGAGTAATCATCAGTATATGGCTAGATAAATAGCCACAAAACTGGCAATAACTAAATGGATCGTAAGTATACTGTTTAATCTTTATTTCTTATGTTTTTAATTGTTATATTTGCTATTTTGGATTTTATGATGCGGCATTGAATTATTTCCAATTGGAAGCCACCCTGAGTCCCCCTAGGGGTTGAGTAGGGCGGGTTAAAAATGTTAGAAATAAATAAATAAAATAAATTGGGTTGTGGTAGGCTGGAGCAGACCCCCACTCCCGCGGAGGACCTCAGTGTCCAAAGTGGATTATACGAGAGAAGGCGGTCTCGTAGGTAACCAGGACCCAAACCATGTAAGGCTTTAAAGGTCAAAACCAACACTTTGTACTAATTGGCAGCCAGTAGAGTGACTTTAGGATAAGAGTGATATGCTCACTCCTGGATGTTCCCATAACCAATCTGGCTTGTGTATTTTGAACCAAACGGAGTTTCTGAACTTGGTACAAAGGTAGCCCAGTGTAAAGCCAGGGGCGGCTCGTCCATTATGCGAAGTAAGTGGTCGCTGGAACACTTTTTTTTGCCAGGGGCGCAGAGGCGCCTCTGTAAATACCCCTCGACTGCCACTTGAGGAGCGCCCCCTCAGCTCACAACAGCCCTAGCAGTCCGGGGGGAGCCTCGGCTTTTTTGCCTCGCTGCTGGGCAATCCTCTTCCCAAAGGGGCCAGGCCCTTGAACCTCGCCTAGCCCCTCTCGTTCCTGCTCCACCCGGCTACCGGGTGCGCGTGCAGAGCCGGCGCTCATTCGTTCTCCGCGTTCGATCCCTTCCCCATGACCGGCTCCCTTTCCCCGCTCCACCCGCCTCCTCTCCTCTCCCCAATCCGCGGGTGGGCCAAGGGGCGGAGCCGCCGCGCCTGGCCCGCTTCGGGTCCGGAGGTGTGTCTGAAGACCCCAGCGTGCGCACCAAAAGTCGCCTCTCCTCCTGACTTTTTCTTCAACCATTGGGACCAAGACAGAGAGAGAGAGAGAGCCCCTCCGGCTGGAGGTATCTCCCACTTCCGCTCCCTCCTTTGTTTTTGCACCTACCTTCAGGAAAGGTGGGCATCTCCACCTCTCTCTCTCTCTCTCTCTCTCTCTCGGTCCCAATGGCTGAGGAGAAAGTCAGGAGAAGAGGTGACTTTTGGTGCACACGCCGGGGTCTTCAGGCACGCCTCCGGACCCAAAGCGGGCCAGGCAAAGGAGCAAGTGCGGCAAGTGTAGTTACTGGGATGTATAGTTCACCTACAATCAAAGAGCATTCTGAACTCCACCAATGATGGAATTGAACCAAATATGGCACACAGAACTCCCACGACAAACAGAAAATATATATCAATGATTGGTTGGGGGGGCGGCGGCGCCAAAATACTGTTTGCTTACCATTGAAAATTACCTTGGGGCCGCCTCTGTGTAAAGCGCTTTGCAGAAGTCCAACCTTGAGGTTACCTTCACATACATTACCATCTTCGGGTCCTCCAAATCTAGAAAGGGGTGCAGCTGTCGTATCAGCCGAAGCTGATAGTATAAACACTCCTGACCATCACGTCTACCTGGGCTGACATTTGGAGAGATGGGTCCAGGAGCACTCCCAAACTGAAAACACAATCTTTCAAGGAGAGTGTAACCCCATCCAGAACTATTTGGCACACCTCCACTCCCAGATTAGGACCTTTGATGGCAAGCACCTCTGTTTTGTCTGGATTCAGTTTCAATTTATTTTTCCTCCTCCAGTCCATTACTTCATTCAGTGGAGACACACTATTCTTAGATGAAGCTATTTTTGAAGGCATGGAGAAATATATTTGGGTGTCATCAGCATTCTGATAGTATCCCATCCCATGTCTGTGTATGATCTCTCCCAACGGCTTCATGTAAGTATTAAAGAGCTTTGGGAATAGAATGGCACATTGTGAGACATATATACATATATATACAAACATATATAGACAGATGCAGAGGCAATTTAACATTCCAGCTTTTTTCTTGAGGGTATTCTGGCCACCAGGGGAGCTGTCTCTTCACCGACCATTTGTAACACTGATGAAGTACTTCCTCATTCTTTGCATGCTTGCTGGAGAGTTTTATTATTTATTATTTATTTATTTAGAACTTTTATATACCGGTCTTCTCACCTCTGCAGAGGGACTCAGGCTGGTTCACAACAACAGTATCACAGACAATCGTTTAAAAACATCACATCCTGTAATACACTAACATTAAAATACTAAAATACAATCATATAATTACATAGGCCAAGTCGTCAAAATGAAATCGTAGTTCATCACCATCCGTCCGTGTAGTCACGAGTTATTGACTCACTCGTCAAATGCCAGTTTCCAGAGCCAGGTTTTCACCTGTTTTCTAAAGGTCAGGAGAGAAGGGGCAGTTCTAATCTCCAGTGGGAGAGAGTTCCAGAGCCGAGGGGCCACCACCGAGAAGGCCCTGTCCCTCGTCCCCACCAGACGCGATTGCGAGGATGGTGGGACCGAGAGCAGGGCCCCTCCAGAAGATCTTAACAACCTTGATGGTTCATAGGGAAGAATCCGTTCGGACAGGTAAACTGGGCCGGAGTCGTTTAGGGATTTATAGGTCAACACCAGCACTTTGAATTGTGCTCGGAAGCTAATTGGCAGCCAGTGGAGCTGGCGCAACAGAGGAGTAGTATGCTCCCTGTACCCTGCTCCTGTTAGTAATCTGGCTGCCGCTCGTTGGACTAATTGGAGCTTCCGGGCAGTCTTCAGAGGCAACCCCACGTAGAGAGCGTTGCAGTAGTCTAAACGGGATGTAATCATAAATTAGTTAAATTTGCCTCCCCGCTAAGCGGTACCTAAATTTCCTACTTGACAGATGCAATTGTCTTTCGGGCTGCAGAGGTCAATAGCAAGCTACACAAATTTGGTCAGAAGCTCACTCTGACTTTGAACTCATGACCTTTGGGTCAGTAGTGATCTTAATGCAGCAGACTTCCAGCCAGCTGCGCCACAGTCCCGGTGTTTATCCACCATCATTGTCCAACACCCAAATCACTATGCCATGCTAGGTCTGTAGTGTAAGATATGGATATGATAGAAATTGTCTCTACCTTGTAAAAGCTTTGACCACAGGCTGCTAGGTTTTAAAGTCCTATGAGATGGTGAACATTTGCACGCAGGAGTGGTGTGTGCTGTCTCTGTGTGTGTAGTACAAAGATTTATCCGTGTGCACCTGTTGGACTTTTGGATAAATGTGAAATGCATTTTTCTCTCTCACAGCTAATGTGTTCTGACCACAAGCTAATGGTTGTAACACAATATTCACTTTCCATGTAATGGATTTGTTTCTTATTTTCCTGCAAGAAGGGCAGACATTTCCCAGCTGCCCACTTAGCCTGGAGGAGCAGACTTTTCTTGAGTATGCAGTGTTTCTCTTTAGCTGGCATGCTGTATGTGGAAACCTGATTCCCTGAAGGTATTGGTAATGGTATGTGTTTTGTAGGGCCATATGCCCATAACACTCCTCCTGCAAAGTGCTTAATATTCTTCCTAAAACAATTTACACAATGTTTTCTATTAAACCTGGGTGGTCAGTGGGATTTTTTGCTTTAAAAGCGGTGGGTGCTATCTGGCAAGGCATCATAGGATCTTTCTCATATGTTTCTGCTGGGATTGCCAAAAGGCATGGCATGTCTCTGGACCATCCTCCAAAAAATCGGGTGCCCTAACAAATTTGTGAACATCCTGTGGCTCCTCCATGATGAAATGATGGCAACAATCTTGGACAGCAATGGCTCCCAAAGTGACCCATTTAAAGTGGAATCTCTTCTTCTTTCTCTCCTTCCTTCCTTCCCCCATTCTGTATATGTGTTTTGTGTGTATATATATGCATATTTGTGTGTATATTTTTGTGTATATGTGTATATATGTGTGTTTGCATGTATATATGTGGTTTTGCGCATGTGTTGTAATGTGTTTATTTGTTTTTTTGACTTTTTAAGTCCCTTCTGCTGTGTTTTTCAGTGTTTTTATGAGTGATGGTCACTCGTTGGCCTGAGAGGTGTCTTGTGTCCAAATTTGGTGTCAATTCGTCCAGTGGTTTTTGAGTTATGTTAATCCCGGTGGCGCAGTGGGTTAAAGCACTGAGCTGCTGAGCTTGTTGATTGAAAGGTCGCAGGTTCGATTCCGGGGAGCGGCGTGAGCTTCCGCTGTCAGCCCTAGCTTCTGCCAACCTAGCAGTTCGAAAACATGCAAATGTGAGTAGATCAATAGGTACCGCTCCGGCGGGAAGGTAACGGCGCTCCATGCAGTCATGCCAGCCACATGACCTTGGAGGTGTCTACGGACAACGCTGGCTCTTCGGCTTAGAAATGGAGATGAGCACCACACCCCAGAGTCAGACATGACTGGACTTAATGTCAGGGGACTACCTTTACCTTTACCTAATCCCATAAACGAACATTACATTTTTATTTATATAGATATCGTATTACTAGCCTTCCCCTGCCACATATTGCCGTGGCCCAGTCTGTGTATATGTGTTTTGTGTATGTATATATTTGTGTATATGTGTATATATGTGTTTGCATATATATGTGGTTTTGCACATATGTTGTAATGGGTTTTTTGTTGCTTTTTAAGTCTCTTCTGCTGTGTTTTCCAGTGTTTTTATGAGTGATGGTCACTCATTGGCTTGATATGTGCATTGTGTCCAAATTTGGTGTCAATTCGTCCAGTG